TTAGCCATATATTCAGATGTATTAAGTAATGCAAACTGGTTGGTTTTAAAGTAGCTGTACATGCCTTGAGTATGTCCGGCCACAGTATGGAATCGCGGATAACGTTTTTTTTTGCATTTTCATTTTTGCGTTTAAGATATTGAAAAAAACTGCACAGAGCAACCTGATCATCAAATTATTTGCCACAAAGTCATCATCCATAAGAGCAATGCAAAATTTAAGCGAACATAGCAGTTTTATTCACGTCGATAACTTTTGAACAATGTAAGGTCGCTCGTTGTACGCAGCCAACTGTCTCTCAGATCAAATTTGCCTTGCATCTCTGGACGAAAATATTATGACTCTGGAAGACATGTTTAATGCTTCCGATTCCGCTTAAATCAATTTTAGAAAATTATTCTTCTTCATCTTGGTTCAGACAAGAATTGATGCGAATTTCAGCACCTTATTTTTGGCATGGTGATTAATCAACGGTGATATATAAACTGAAAATCTGTAATGTCCAAAGTGAAAAAACCATGACAAATTCACTTAAACTGAGCGAAATAGGTGCCCTTGTTGATAATAGATTAAAAAATCCTATTGTCCAGGTTCCACTTACGATTCGCCAGTGTTTTCAAGCGAACTCCAGAATTGCAAAGATCTCGTTCTCGTGAAACCGAAGATGTGCTTTCAGAAGAAGTTTCAAATGGATGGATGCATCTGAAATTAAATTTCTTAAATAATTTATAAAAATAAGCGCATATATTTATTTAATTCATTGTCTTATTAAACGATTGACCAGTTGCGACCAATGACTAAACCGGAGCGAAATTCGCAACTGTCCATCGTCTCATGGTACTGAAGCACCTACAGGGAAGTTTAAACTTAGCACATTTTTGCCCGTTTGGATAACGAGCCTTATTGAGTCCAGGTTTGTGGCTAGAGTTTGAAGGCGCATCGAGGATGCAATTTAGCCAGGTTGTACAAAGGCAAATTTTTTACGGTAGATAATGGCGAAGAACCAAACAATTCACAAGGTTAGGTACTGGAGCGCAAAAGGAGGCAGCAACTACAACCAAGCTGAGTCTATTAAAAGTGTCTCTTCCCCTATTCATTTCATTGCGGGTTTGTTCCGCCAGAGCGACTTCAATTACCTTCCATTTTCTTTACTCCTTTTCGAAATGTCCTGCTGGACCGTCTGCGACTGGACAACTTGGTTCTTCCTGACGATATGCTCTCCCACCTCTGAACCGTCATAACTTGTTCTACAATGCGGGCCATATGTTTCTTGCACAGCCTTTGAGTTTTCGTCCAATTTTTCCAATATGGGTGTCTCCAACAGTGCAATTGAGGAAATACACCATCCCATTGACAGGATACACTTTCTTAGAACTATTGTTTACAATTAACCTTTGCGCTGAACGATACACTGTCCTAACGCCGTATTTGTTTGTGAACCGTTGTTTCGTTTCACCCACATTCCATTCTTAGACAATCACAAGTGAAGAGATGCTAGCAAAGATGTTAAAGACATGCGGTTAAATTATGATCTGTTCTATTCATCTTTCGGTCTACCTTTTAGAACCGCTCTGGAATAAAACCCTTCATTGTTCTAGGGGAGTTGCTATTTTACGTTGTTCAGAAACTAGTTGTTCCGCTCTCTCATATGGTAGTGTGGTGTGAGCATATTCGTAGATTTTTTTTAATGAAAGGGTTTGCATTGCTCATGATTTCCAGGCAAGACGCATGTGACCTGTAGTTAATATATCTTCTGGTGTGGATAGACTTTTTATAGACGATCATTTTTAGGGTACCTTTGTCATTATATGTCCAGAAACGAAGGATTTTCGCTTTCTTCCAGTTCGTTGGTGAATTTTATCCTTATGTGAGCGCTGTTCAAGTATTTCCTGAAGCCGTCTGGATAAATACATTCATGTCTTCAAAGTATTTTTGCTATACATCTGTTCGAAGGGCCACGGCTCCGGTGTGATTTCGCCAGATTGCCTACGGCATTGCCGGTTCGTTGTTTGCGTTCTATTTTTTATTTTTCTTAAAATTTTGATAATTTACGGTTCACTGATACCAGCTACCAGTAGTTTACATCAATAATGCCGTAGAGAATGATGATAAGTATCATTACGACAACGATGTACCACCCCCTTTTCCTGCATACAAATGTGAACCATTTAATCAGAAAAAAGGCTGATAGCGTTTGAAAACAAGAAGCTGGGGCATATAATAAAACATTAAGGAGTGTTAAAGTAGTTGCATTTGACTGATAACTTTAATTTCTAGCTCAAGCAAAATAAATGCTCTGCATATCACTGAGTAGGGTCGAAACAACACTAAAGAATTTTCTAAGTTAACTCAAATCAGTAGCTCAAGGCTTAGGCAGAAGCACGCATGAAATGGCTACTTATGTTTCTTAAGCCGAAAGCACAGTTCGACCATTAATATTTTGAGCTATGGCCCTGATCTTGGAAATTAGCCTAAAAATGACTTTTAAAAATTCACGTGTTTACATGGCTGTAATTTTTCCGCAGGATAGTATCAAAACAAAGCAACAAACGGCAAAAGATTTTGATAACAGAATGTGAACATATTTGGTAGGTATATTGATACTTGAAGTTTGGCTGAATAACGCATGGACGATGAGCGAAACCACCGGGCGTTTGAAACTTTCAGTCCTTGCAGAGATATGTACGAAATTATTTCTGATTGCACTGAGATGCAATGAGAAACGAGTTACATAACGCTTAGTTTATCCTGATGTATAAAACTGGCAAATAAGCAGGTTCCACCAAGAACCATATAGTGCTACGATATAGACAACAGTTTCCTTGCAACGAGGTATTTTTAGCTACATCGCTCTGATATACAGAACTTGCAAATCATGTTAGATGTTGTACATCAATCGCTTTGTCTATCGCAGCTAGCTGATTATTGGTCGGTTGTGGCGTTATGCAATGTTTTTGGCAGTGTTAGGTAAAGATATGAAATTTATTGATGCACATGAGTTTGTTTTCAGCATTGCATTGTTTTACTGCTTTAACTTTTAAACAAAAGATAGAATTTTGTTAAATAACTTCTATTTGTGCTGACTGACATACTTAAGCCGACTTTCCAGTTTTTCCCACGCTCAGTTTTTTATGCAAGTATTATGTCGAGTGAGGTAAAGGTATTCTAATTGAATAAGCGTAGTGAAAGAACTTGTACCTATTGTAAGACTAACATCAGCCGTATGCAATGATTTTTGATACATTCCTTCTGCTTTTTATCGGATAATAAATGAGTCAGCACTCGTAGGATCAGTTGGTATAATAAAGTTGCTTAGTGAACGGAATAATATTAATTTTTTAGGCAATTAAAAAAACGGTGAACATGATAAAGTTACCATTACATGTAGATGATTATGACGCTGCCAAAGAAAAGATTAGTGATTTATTCATTATTATCATCTTTTATTTTATTTACGGAAAAAGGCTTAACAAATAATAATAGAAGCCATTTTAGAGGTTTTACTCGTATGGTATAGAGATTTTTAGAT